TGAGGTGTATATGTTGCTTAGGTCCATCTATGGATTAAAGCAAGCTTCCCGAAGTTGAAACATAAGATTTGATGAGACAATCAAATCTTATAGCTTCGTTAAGAATGAAAATGAACATTGTGTATACAGGAAGGTAAGTGCGAGTGCTATCACGTTTTTGGTGTTATATGTAGATGACGACATCCTAATCATTTGAGAATAATATAGGAATGCTCTCTATAGTAATGACTTAGCTATCTAGATACTTCTTCATAAAGGACTCAGGGAAAGCATCATACATATTGGGGATTCAGATATATAGAGATAGATATAAGAGAATGCTTAGTTTGTCTCTATCCAGGTACATAGACATCATAGTCAAAAGGTTTGGTATAAAAAATTTCAAGAGAAATCTCATACCGATGAGACATGGGATATTACTTTCTAGGGGTATGTCCCCAAAGACTCCTAAAGAAAGGGTGGATATGGATAGGATATTATATGCCTCAGCGATAAGGTCTATCATGTATGTCATGCTATGTACCAGACCTGATATAGCACATGCTCTGAGTGTCACAAGTAGGTATCAGGCAGTTTTAGCCTTAAAGCATTGGAAAATAGTAAAGTATATCCTTAAGTACTTGAGAAGGACTAAGGATATTTTACTAGTATATGGAGGAAGTAACCTCAGGGTTGAGAGCTACACGGACTCGAGCTTCCAATCTGATGTTGATGATAGCAAGTCTATTTTAGGATATATGTTCATCCTGAATAGAGGAGCAGTATATTGAAAGAGTTCTAAGCAAAATACTACTATTGACTTGACCATAGAGATGGAATACATTGCTGCGATAAAAGGCAACAAAGGAGGAGTATGGATATAGAAGTTCATCACTGATCTAGGAGTTGTGTCGGGCAGTGAGGAGCTGATTCTCTTATATTACGACAACTATGGGGTGATTGCTCAATGAGGAAATCCGAGTCTCATCAAAAGTGTTTTGAGAAAATTTTAACTTTTGAGAGAGATCGTAGCCTAAGGAGATGTAGCAACGGAAAGAGTTTCATCCAAAAATAACATTACAGATCCATTGATAAAGTCGTTGTCTCAGATTGTCTTTGAGCATCATCGGGGTTTGATGAAGATCAGACACATATGTGATTGATTTTAGGTCAAGTGAGGGATTGCTAGTCATAGGTACCTTGTAAGCCAATCACATGAGTGATGACACGTACGACATGACATGTAATCTTTTTGCTTATTATTATTATGATATTTTCTCACTTTATATTGCTTGATGCATAAATATATTGTGATGTTCATGGATCTATGTAATGAGAATCGGATTATGATGAGATCATGATAATGAGATTGATTAACCTTTAAACATATATCATAAATAATCCTGATCATAGGTTACTCGAGAGAGACATCGAGATAACCGGATAGACTAGTGTATTGTATACCCATCCATATGATGGAAACAGCTGGTCTCATAGCTGCTTATGTGGGGACACGAGGGATATAGTACAAATACTCATTTGAGAATGAGTTCATTAATTGATCCGCTCACGGAATGCTAGATGATTGATGATACCTCATTGTCAAACAATAATTTTGTCATTCTAGTGGTGTAACTGGTCCTTAGACTTGAGACACCAAAAAAGTTCTGTATGAGTACTTTACTCTTTAATATCAGACTTATAGGTCTGGAAGTTTCAGATCTAGTATAACGGTCATCAGGAGTGATGGCAAACCTTATGAGGGTTATTGAGTATCAATAGAGGATCATCTGCTCTCGATAGAGGATCATTTGCTCTCGGATCTAGTATAACGGTCATCATGGCAAACTTTACTCTTTAATATCAGACTTATAGGTCTGGAAGTTTCAGATCTAGTATAACGGTCATCAGGAGCGATGACAAACCTTATGAGGGTTATTGAGTATCAATAGAGGATCATCTGCTCTCGGTATCATGAGAGGAATATCCTATGTATTTTTGCTCAGACAAATCCTTGGCCAAGGTCATTCAGATTGAGAGAGAAAGAGTTCTTTGAAAGAATCCAATTAGAACGACACTTGAGAAGAAATCATATGAGCCTGACAGCATTATGCCCTGTGTATAGTCTCTAGGATATTAGATGAATGAGAGATTATAGGTATATAGTAATTGAGGACAGATAAATCCAAATGATTATATTCCCTTGTATCGTTTGGGGACTACGACATAGTGGCCTAGTACGTCTGTAGTCGATGAGTCAAGTGAATTATTTTGAAGATAATAATTTTCTGAGCAAGAATAAGTTTTGATAGGTATGACTCACAACCAGCTCGGTATTGGGCCTAAAGGGTCACACACATATGATATGTGTTACGATGAGTAAATGTTCGAATATGAGATATCCTTCGGAGTCCTTATCTTATTGGATATCTAATAAGCTTTTTAATTATTAGATCCTATGGATGAGATCCAATAAGAGCTAATGAGATATTATTGGATAGAGATTTATTAATCTAATATGCTTGGGTAGTTGGATGGAGATCAAATACCCAATAACATAGAATCCATTAAGGTTAAGTTGATAAGGAGTCTCTATAAATAGGAGAGAACTAAAGGGCCATATGTAAGATCTTTTTTGTTGTGGATCATCTTCGTAGCTCATATTATGTGGATCACCGCTAAATAGGAGGACGCTTGATCTCTTTCATCCTCTCCTATAGATTTATAGGATTTTAAGGATATACGATCTCCCTAAGTAACACAACTATCTCACACATGATTTTCAATTTCGTAGGTTTTTACGCACCAATATTCACACAATGACAAACATCTTATGAGAAATTTGATATTTTTATTTTTTGTTCCTCTACTAAGCATGTGATGTCATCCATATATTTTTCTATAATTATCATCATAATAAAATGAGTGATTGAAGTCTATATAAAGAGTCCTAAAACCTTTAAGTAGTTACAATTGACTTTCATCTAATATATCACCTAATATCTAGCTATATCATAAAAAAATAAAAATACTTTATCGAAAATAGGAGCCTTCTGAGATCACTAGGAAAAAATAATTTTTACTAAACCAATATAATAGTAAACTGTGTACCTTGGCTTGCATGGAAGTTTCATGAAAACTTTGATACATGCAATGTTTATTAACAAACTCTCATATTTGATAATAAACATCATAGAGGGAGAGAATTTGATGAAAAGTGCACTTCAAATAATTTTAAAAAGTTAAGATAATTTTGACCGGTCCAAGTATGTGCTATGCTATTTTTTATCTTATTAAAAAAAATGACACACTTGTTCAGATGCTAAATAAAGAAAAAATATCAAAAAAATCTCTAAAATAGAAAAACACTAACATATATCCATATGGTCTAATTCAAAACTTTCATGAAATATTCATGACATTTTGATAATATTTTTGGTAATCCATGAACCAATATAATAATAAAATGAGTTATAATACATTGGCTTATATGAAAGTACAACATGTAAAAACTTCTTTCATAAGCTTTTAGATTTACTAATAAACATCAAACAAGGGAAGAAGATTTGAAGTGCATAACTAGATGATTCATAAGAAATCAAACAATCCACGAACAGTAAAATAGATTACAATACATTGGCTTCCATGAAAGTATAACATGAAACCCTTGATACATGCAATGTTCTTTGACAAGTTTTCAGATTTACCAATAAATATCAAACATGGGAAGAGAATTTAAATACCACACTATTATAAAAACCCTATATGTATTTTATCTTATTTAAATAAGTCTTAAATAATCGAATAGTAACAAAGACAACAACATATTTATATGATACTTTTTGTCTTCTTGATTCAAGAAGAAAGAAAAAGATAAAGAATAATAGTAGCCCATGAATAGAAAAAAAATACAAAAAAAGAAAGAAATGGACAAGAAGAAAAGTGACAAAAGAGACTTAAAAGATAAGGTATTCATCAAGATTAGCAAGAAAATAATGACTTTGTTGCCTATGATAAATGGGTAAAACAATAGAAACACTAAGGGGTGCTCATTGGATATTTTTCTAAGTAGGTGTTCGGAAAAACCCGAAATTAAGGATTTTTTTGAAAGAATTCATCTAATTTTATATTATTCTAAAATATAAAATTATATGATAAAAGAGAAAAAAAAATAGGGTCTTCATCGAAATCAATATCACATGTTTTCTTACCATACACTATAGTAGCCACTACACATGTTTTCTTAATAAAAAAATATTAAACTCGAATCGATGGATAAAACTTGAGGAAAAGAACGATCCAAAAACCACTATTTTGGATGCAAAAATAATAATTTAGCTGTGTAGAGTAGATGAGTAAAATAGTACATTAAGAGGTGTTCTTTGGATATTTTTCAAAGTAAGAGTGCAAAAAAAAAAACCTAAAATTAAAGTTTTTTTTTCAAGAATTCAGATAATTTTATATTATTCCAAAATATAAAAAAATTTAAATGGAGATGCAGGGGATCGAACCCTGTACCTCTCGCATGCAAAGCGAGCGCTCTACCATTTGAGCTACATCCCCATTGATTTACTTTTTATTTTTACTATTATATAACGAATAATACACAATTAAATGAGATGAGTACAAATGCAAAACACTCCGTACTCCTCCAATCAGATTAACTTGCTTTCTTGGATTAACATAAGTATCCATACTAATAGACCTAAATAGGTAATCATACAGAAATAGAGAGTTCATCTCATTAGTTAATAGAGAATTAATTAATGATCTCTCTTTAGGCTCGATGGGCTAACTTTCTCATTAGCATCTCTTCAGCCCAGTCGACGCCGCTTGCGCCACGAGTCGAATCGCCGCCGTTGGTTCAGAATTTGTAGCACGGTCCGCCGATCGTACGGTCACCGTTTGCTGCCGTGAGGAATCGGAGGAAGCTTCTCGAAAGACAATTAAATAAATATCAATAACGAAAGGAGAGGAGAGGGTCTGAGAGGCGTCGCTTTGGAGGAGCCTTCGATTTGAGGTAGGCGTCCCCTCCTCGTTAGGGTTCTTACTGGTTTCGATCTCGTTTTCCACCTTTGGATCCTTTATCTCTGGTCTGGTAAGCTTGGATCTCCTTCTGTACGATCAGTTTCTTGGTATGTTTGTACTAGGGTTTCTTGATTTAGGGTTCTTTGTTTACTGTAGAACGTATGCCTGCTTCTCCCTTTTTGGTTATTGCGTTGTTGTTATTAGATCAATTGAATCGGAGATTAGCAGACTGTTGTTGCCTAAATTTCATCCTAGGTTGAAGATGTGATGAAAGAGCTGGATAAATCCGAGTGAGGTCGTATTGTCATCACCTGTTTCTAGGTGCTGGAAACAGAGATCTTAATGCTCCTAATGTCGTTTTGCAGAATCACATGTTCGGATACGTTATCCTTGTTATCCTAGAACCGTCCTTCTAAGTGCTGCAATGTGAATTATTGCTTTGTTGCAGCTATTTTCTCTTTCGATGTTAAGTGTTCAAGTCAGGAACGCTGTGTGAATGGCTATGTTGCTCTCTTGGGTGTAGTGTTTGTTGTTAGTGCCTATAAGGGTCGAAGGGATTTCATCTGAACAATGTCCTTGTTGGTTAGGAAAAGAAAAGTCAAGCCTGTACAAGTGCAGTTATTCACAAGGATGATGTAGTAGGCAAGTACTTTTTGGTTTAGGTGCAAATATCTCATGAAAAATGGCTCAGTGTTCAATCTTGTGGGACAAAGAAATGTTGTTATATGAATCAATTTAGTAACTGGTTAGTTACAAAGTATTGTTGGATCACACTATATTTTTTGTTTGGACATCATTTGAACTGTATTGTTTGGATGAAAAGGAGATCTAACATTAGCATTTTAATTTAAACCTAGAAAATTTTATGGAAATCTTAATTTTTTTTGTTTATAACGATTTTCAACAGTTCACTTAAATGTGTCATCTATGCATGCGATATGCTTGATTGTTTGGACCTTTCGATCTCCTATCCATGCACGTACATGTATCATGATCTATTTATAGATAGGATTTTCTTTGAAGAGGATGAGGGGCAGAAGCTACAGTCCATCACCACCAAGGGGTTATGGGAGAAGACGTCGCAGTCCAAGTCCTAGAGGTCGCTATAGCAGCCGCGGTAGAGACCTCCCAACCAGCCTTTTAGTTCGGAATCTTCGGCGTGATTGCAGGTTTGTTTTCACATTTTTGTGCAAGTTTTTTTGTTCTCCGATAAGTAAATTCTTGCATACCAAGGGCATCATACTAGTGTCAGATAAAGATGGAGACTTTATAGCCTTTCTGTTCCAGTGATCTTGGTGTTAATATGAAAGAAGGCTTTGGCCAACTTATTTTTCTGCTGCTGTTTGAGAACCTAAAACAACACCAAGCATTCTGCTAGAAAAGGAGAGGGGCCTAATAATTTATATGTAATTTGTCATGGTTCTCTGTTCGCATCAACTTTTGGTAAAAATGACATTTTACACTTTTTTTGTGTGTTCATTATTTTGGGCAGAGATTGGGTCCAAATATAGCAGCTTGGTGGGCCAAAACTTACCTGTACTAGTTGAAAAGTTATTACGAAATAAATAATGGTTTTGTCAGTATTTGATCAGTGAGAGATTGAGTTAAAGGATCCCATCGTGTGAAATAAGTTTACATGTTATACACGGCGTGAATTATGTGTTGCTTCTCTTATTTATTCGGTAACTTAGCTGAACTATATGTAATACTGGTATATAACTGTGGCTATCTGAATAAGTACTTGTACAGTTAAAGGCCTCAGTGTTTAGGGTTTGTAGAAAATTGAATTCTATAGTATCTAATGTTTTCATTTCAAGGGGTGAACTGTGCTGGTATATGATGGATCATATAAGGCGCCTAAATATTTCAAGAAGGCTAAGGATGGAAAACACTGATATGATTGAGTCTATAAAAATAGAAGGAAATGAGCTCCTTTGACAATCAAATCTGGTGGAGTGCTATTCTGAAAATTTTCTTACTTTCACACTTTTAACAATGTTTTTATTACAATGATAAGTGATATGTACGTTTTTGTCATATGCTGGTATATGATGGATCATATAAGGAGCCTAAATATTTCAAGAAGGCTAGGGATGTAAAACACTGATATGATTGAGTCTGTAAAAATAGAAGGAAATGAGCTCCTTAGACATTCAAATTTGGTGGAGTGCTTTTCTGAAAATTTTCTTACTTTCCCACTTTTAACAATGTTTTTATTACAGTAATAAGTGATATATACATTTTTTGTCATAATTTTGGAATCTTTGGATGCCAACATGTGACATTGGGTCATGTAAAACAAGATAAAGGATAGATTAGGATCATGTGTCAAGTTGTTATTGGGCACTCGTTTGGTATTTTTCTGAATACAAAGCTTAATTTGCACAAATATTTAGGAAAAATAATCTGTCAATTGCTTTTATATGCAATATATGAGGGGGAACAGGTCTGCTATAGGATTTGAAAGCAAGTAGGTTTTTGCATTGGTACTGCACGCAAGAGTCCTCTGATGTTGAGAGGGTGATGAAGGAGTTGGAAAATTCTATGGACAATGAATTTTGTTATAGTCGTATGCTTACAATAATGTCACAAGCAAGGTTCGTAATTTTATATCGTACTTGAGTAGCAAGAGTCCTTTTCTTCCTTCTCCCTCGGCTAATATCGTCCCGTAATTGGCGGCGATAATTGAAATCGACCGTCACCAATCGATTTCGTGTGGTAACGGGGCAGAAACAACCCCAATCGATGGTACCGCTCGGTAGCGGACAGATCGGTATGTACCGCCCGGTATGGGCGGTATCATTCGAAATTAAAAACCTTGGTCACAAACACTAGAAACATTGAGCTTTTAAATCCTTTGTTTCTAGCAATGATTTTATTGCACTTCAACACTTGTTTGTTTGATTGGTGGGAATAGCCTAATATATGGTGCTTTATGATTGCAGAGCGGAGGATCTTCGTAGACCATTTGGGCAGTTTGGCCCTCTTAAGGATATCTATTTGCCACGTGATTATTACACGGGGTAAGTGGGACTGTTGAATCTTCCGATTACTAGTAATGATATCTGTTAATTTAAGCATGCTAGTATTCTGATGCAATAATGAGGTACAGTCTAGGAGATTGAATTATGTTGACTAATGTTATTATGTAACTTTGTGAGCATTTGTGAACTATAGCTATGTTCAGAAATGCAACTCATGAGCTCACAAGTTTGTTTAGTGTGCTCCATTTGTTGTACTCTACATCCTTCTTTATTGCATGTTGATTTTTCATTAAGGCTGTTGAGTTTAACAGTGAAATTAGAGTTTGAAGACACAAGTCGAGTCTTGAGAGTTATGTTCAAGAGGATGTAAGTAAATGAAGATAGTGGCTAGTGAGAAGAAAAGGAATTGGGTTCTTGGTTAAATTTTTGAAGATACCAAGTCTTGAAGAATTTGAAGTCATCTATAAACTCTGAAGAGTGAAAGGTCAGCAGCCAAGTGCTTGCTTTAACTTGAATTTCTTGAAACATCAAAATTTACTTGAAGCATGCTAAATATCTGAGACATGTTCTCTATTATGACATTCTATATTTCTTTGGACTTTCATGATTTAACAATTATTGTTAGTAATGTACCCACTAAATGCAGTTGCCTTGTGATATGGTCAATTCATTAGGATCTCACTAAACACAGTTGTTTTTTTTTCCCCCTCGCAAGAGAGCCACGTGGATTTGGGTTTATCCAATATGTCGATCCGGCTGATGCAGCTGAAGCTAAGTACCAAATGGATGGGCAAATCCTTCTTGGCAGGGAATTAACTGTTGTATTTGCTGAGGAGAACAGAAAAAAGCCTTCTGATATGAGGGCAAGAGAAAGAAGGTACGATGAGCCTAACTCTTGGCATTGTAATTTTATTTGAAATCTATGCATAGATTGAATATCCAGTTCATTTTTGATGGATTAATTTATCATATGGTAAGGTAATCTCTCTCTTCTTGGTGGCTTGTTCATAAGAGATCATTTGTCTGGCTTTGTTTGTGGGTTTACATGCTTTCCTTTAGTTGCTCTACCATGCTATATTTGTTACACTAGGTGCTTGGATTGTCAAGGGGACCCTAATTCTGGTTTTAATATTTATTGTTGTTTTGGTAGGGATCGTGTGTATGATTCCCGAAGATCACCCCACAATTCACGGTAATCCCTCTTTCTTGGTGGCTTGTTCGTGAGAGATTGTTTGTCTGGCTTTGTTTGTGGCCTTACATGCTTTCCTTTAGTTGCCCCACCATGCTATATTTTCTTATGTTAGGTGCTACTGTATCATCAAGGTGACCCTTGTACTGGTTTTAATATTTGTTGTTGTTTTCATAGGGATCCTGTGCATGATTACCGAAGATCACCCCGCCGTTCGCGGTAATCCTCTTTTCTTGGTGGCTTTTTCATACGAGATTGTTTGTTTGGCTTTGTTTGTGGGTCTACATGCTTTTCTTTAGTTGCCCTACCATGCTATATCCGTATACTGGTTTTAATATTTATTGTTATTTTGGTAGGGGTCCTGTGCATGATTCCCGAAGGTCACCCCGCCAAGCACGTTCTCCTTACTATTCGCACTCGCGTTCTCGCTCGCGAAGCCGTAGCTATGAGTCGCCTTCTTCAAAGCGGCAGCACTACTCGAGGTAATATGCTTATTTGATTGGTGGTTGAAATAAGATCCAATGATCTTTAAAATTTGTAATTTGCTTTTGCCTTGGCAGGTCTGCTTCGCCCCAAGATAAGACGAAGCACAGGGAGAGGTCATACTCCCAATCTCCTGCAGGTAGCAGGTCACGCAGCAGAAGTCCTGAAGGTTTGCCGAGCAAGCCATCACGCCGAGAAAGGTCTCTTTCTGTTAGCGGGTAAAGTAGATTTGAGTATGATGTGGAGTGTACTGGCTACGACTATATAACTCATTTGGCTGCTGTGGAGGTTGCTCTTAGGTTAATGTTGCAACACTGAAACTGAAGTTTAATATCGACTCAATACAATCAATCATTGGACGGTAAAGATAATGCTTGGATCTCGTGGAAGTCTGGTTCGATTTAATGATTAGTTATCATTCATTCTAGCATGATTGGAAGCATTTGATCTTTAATCCATGTTAGCGGTCAACCAATCTTTGTCGTTGCCATCAGTTCTTTCAGTAGCATTGTTCCACCCCGGAATCTATCTTCTCAAAAGCAATTGTGATCAGATCCAACTGTGTGTGTGGGAAACAGAGAATGGACGTGCGATGCGAGATGATGGATCGGCCATGAGTGACAACACAGCTGTGCTGTTTCTGTTGCCAAGCTGGCCGTCCACATCTCCATCCTTTGACCTCCTCGTTTGTATGTTTGCTGATCTTTTCTTTCATCTACGTCAGTGTAGACTTGGCTGCAGCTACCACTGGCTGTTGTCTCGCCATCCCCATCCTCATCCACATCCACATTTATTTCAATTATATCCGTGACATCACCTTACAATTATTTGCACACGAACAGACCGCTTAGAAAGGTTCATTACTCCGTATGTGACAGCCATGGCCTGCAGCCTGCCTTGGTCAAGCATCATCCACGTTAGCTTCTTACAAGTCCCAGAAACCAGAACACGAAAATTACAGGGATCTACGTACGTTTGTTCTGGACCACTTTCTTAGGTGCATCTTTTCATTTTAATGCACCGGGGTTCATCTTAGATGATCGTCCATGACTTGATTGAAAGGAGTTATGTGGCACATTCAGCTAATTAATTGCTTCAAGACAATCATTAGCATTCACTCATGCACACAACTATCAGCGGTACCAAAAACATGTTCTTACCACAAAGGGAGGGAGCTTCTTCAGGTTCATTTAGGATGAGCTCTGTTCAAGCTGAGCGGCTGATTGCAGCCATTTCACTGTTGTGTTCTTCCCTTTTTCAACGTCAAACGTGCCGACGCGCTCTTCCAACTACATAGACAACAAATCTTAACTACATCGCGGCGGTACGCGTCCCTCGGCGGGTCTCCGTTGTTTTCTTCCTGCAGGAAAAGGTTACGACCAATGAATGAGGAAATGATTGAGAAGCGAGTGAAATGGACAGCGGAGAAGCTGAGGCTTATCTTTCAGCGTCGGTTGATCTTTCCGTCTCGTCCTGCCAGCTAAATGAGACTGCCAGCTGCTGTTATCGACATGCGCGTGCATGGAGTCGCGAGTAGGTATGCCTCACTTCTTTTAGCTCACAAGCGTGTACTCTTCGTTGGAGATGGGATGCATGGGAGATCCAAAAAGACAGATGGACGTGACGATGTGCATTGGCCCCGCTCCCTCTCTCTCTTGACCTAATCTCTCGATAGCCAAGAGCTGGCTCGTGAACTGGTGAGTTGATCGATGGATTCTGAACTAAATCGCTGGGCATTTGTTCTCGGGGTTGTTCAGCCGCAAAATTTGCCTTTTCTGAATGACGGAAGTCAGCAGAAACGGAGGCTTACCAATGTCAACTCTCCCTCCGTTTCCAATGTGTACACCGTGCATGGTCATGGGGTTGGCACACCAGCTACTACTATCACCTTTTGAACAGCTACATGTTTAGCTCGAGGACTGGAATGTCAGCGTTTGCCACGAGAGTAATAAAAAACATCATTCACGCTGTTGTTTCGATTAAGATATGTGAGCAGCAGAAACAAGCACACAGGTCAACAAAGCTTAGGTTTCTTTCTCATGAATCATATGATATCTGAGTCGTTGACATTATCAGCAACTAAGCATGCTGATGATATGGAGGTCAAACATGGCCTTGGTTTAGTAAGGTTCAAATCGATCCTTGCACTGCTCTTTTCTCTGAGATATTAGCATGCAAATTTTGGTTTATAGACATCTTTTTTACATGAGTGAGGCTGATATGGTGATTATCTTAGGTCATTTGAAACTCAGCAGATGTAGTCCGGTCAGTATCTACTCAATATATCGTATCTTATGGAAGATTACAACAGAGTCCACTGAACATTTTGCATAAATAGAACATGTAAAGCAAATATTTCCTCATTAAGTGACACTGTCAAATCTAAATTTACTAAACAAATATTAAACTCATTACGGGCATTTGATGCATAAAACGAATGAATACATATTGACTTGACCATCGAACGAGTTTTGTCGATCAAATGCTCGATGTAATTTTTTGTAAAAATAAAACAAGTGATATGAGATACGAACTCTTCGAAGAAATACATAATAAAGATATTTTAACTTTATTTTTTTTTCCCTCAACTAAGTTTCAAAATTTTAATGACATTTTCTCTTTTGGACGCGATAGTATCAAAAAAAAAAAATCCTAGGTTGAATCAATTTTGTCAAATCAAAATCAAGACCATCAAAATTACCATATCAAATGTAAAAATAGACGCAATTATATATAGAGATTATTTCTGCGACTCATCTTTGAAGAGTTTAGGATGCAAAGAACATTCATACTATTGCTTCAAGGCCCTGTAAATGAATAAAAGACAAGGAATATATCAAGAAATTGGTACATTTCATGTCAAAATAAAAGAAAAATTATAATAATAAGTTTCCATTTTTATTACAGCATGAAGTGCGAGAAGCCGCATTTGTTGCCACATCTTTCCATGCATAGCGGTAGGTTTCCGTCAACCCGAGAAATCTGAAACATCTCCACCTACAAATCTTTAGGGGGGTGTGTGTGGCTGTGATGAATTCATACTTGACTTTTACCGACCAAACTCGCCGCTGACATGATCAAGCTTCACATCACGGTAGCTTAGGGTTGAACACTTTGCCACGGAAAGTGAGGATTTAAGGTGTGGGTTTACTTTTGATGTTTTAGAATGTTGACTAGGTGAAGGTCAAACTTCAAATCCTCAAAGAAACAGAACTTTTTTGCGTTTGTTCTCTGAAATTGCACCAAGTCAAACTTGCTTTTCTTGCAATGAGAAACTGCGGTCAATCCTTTTTTATGTTTAGACTTGCGAATAGTTCGTCCTTCTACGCGTTTACACCCTTCCAAATCTAAGAAAAGTCAACCCAAATCTCACGTAGCCTCCACCTCAATACCTGCAGCTTTATCCTCAGAAATAGAAACAATCTCTTGATCTTATTGTTTGTTCTTTTGAGACTGTGCAGTACTTATTGGTGGTCCAGAAATGGATTGGAGTTGAAGCCACGGTGGGTTCCCAGTGGATAGATATTGTCGTACCATGTAGATAACGCGACTTGAATGACATGACTTGACATCGTTCACCTCCATGGATTTCTCCAAGACTCTGACTTTTCTATTGGATGGAGACAGATCTCAATCCGAACGAGTTAGATCTGCAGTGACGTTGGTGACAGGAGTTCCACATCCGTACCAGTAAGGATTAACAGTCATTCAATCATCACAGATAGTTCAATCTTTTGCATCAATCCGGGGAAGAATCCTGCGAATCTGAGATGTGGTACTCGATGATCATGACGATGAAGCTCAGATGGATATTTGCTGCATGAACAGATGAATTATCCGAGCCGACATGACGCAGAGCTCTCACAGCCGGTCTTTCTGATCTGAGAAGACTACATACCACCTAATTCTCAGTTCAGTTCTTCTGATGCAGATGTTTTAACCACTAGGAATAAATGCTGAGCTCCAGATGATGCATATGCCGACCATTTCTCGAGTTATTTCAGGGAGCGTGAGCCATTGTTCATTGTAGGGTTACTGCTGTTCGGTGGCAGGTTACTGATTCAGCTACAGAGCTCTCTCTCTCTCTCTCTCTCTTGTTTCGGGTTGGATTCGGTATTGGCTAAAACAAAGGACTACATGAGCCATAAACCACTGCAGGCACAGATTTTGAGATGCCAGTGTTCACCATCAGCTGTCGCAGTTTCAGGGTTTTTGGAACTATTTTTTTGAGTTTCCTGCAGCTTCAAAGTCTACATGTTCTCTAGTTTATACTGTTGAGACCAGTGACAGCCACACCATCAAGTACTTTGTCTGCAAGCAGAGAGAGAGAGAGAGAGAGAGAGAGAGAGAGAGAGCTTTGATTTTGATGAAATTAGCCATAAACCAATCCTCATTTTATCTTACTTAAGCCAAAGAAAAGCCACCGATGGACTCTCTTATGAATACTAGTTATATTCTCTTATTAATATTTGGTAAATAAGAATTAGTGCATGCAATAATATTATATATGCATGTAGAATAACATGAGAGAAGCTGATCACGTCATGGGTTTTGTGAGAGCTGAAGACAATAAATTGTGTTGGAAATTAGAAGAAGAAAACCTCAATTTAGTTTTATTTTAATTATATATATATATATATATATATATAATATGTTGGAAGTGTTAATGTTATAACAAAGCGCCGTCTTCGTCGGGCACGCACGTCGGTACCGCTATCTTTCCGTCTCCATATTACCGTACAGCATCTACGGGTGGATTCGCTAATCGTAGCAACTCACGTGGTCGGAAACTTTGCGCCACCGTCCTCACACCGTCTTCTTCCTCCCTATTTAAGCACACCAACTCAGATTAGCTCCTCCAGCAACAAATAGCAGAGACTGCTCCCCTCTGCACCCTCTTTTAGGCGAATCCCCAGCAAACCACCCTCTCCTTTCTCCCTACCACGCCCCATTCCCCAACCACCCCCCTTTGCCTCTCTCTCTCTCTCTCTCGCTCAAGCTATTGTGTGATCCCCAAGACAGAGGAGGCTAAGGTGAGCTTGTTGTGAATGAGTCAGCATGTCTTTGCTCTTGGATTCGTCTTTCTTGGAATCAAAATGAAACCTGCTGTTTCAACTCCTTGTTTGCAAGCTGGGATTCGATCATCCCCAAGAAACATGAGATATCTGAAATCGAGAACTCTTCCACCTCATATCAACATTGGAATTACCTTCCCACGCTCTGGATCGAGTTACAACTCCATGAATGATACGTTGGAAACCCTCATCATGGGAATCATTAGGTTCGGTGATGAACTGAGGTTGAATCCCAGGTTCATCAGCTTCAATGGCGCTGACTCCGAGCCTGCTATCCTCAAGGCTTTTGGTCCCAGAAAGCTGCTGATCGAGGGATCCGTCAGCTCCAGCAGAAGGGGAATGGATCCCTTCCACTTGGAAACAAAGATCTCGGTGAAGAGTCCTCGCCTCGAGCCAGATGCGTCGGCAATGTCTGATGATCCCAAAAGGTTGAGGTTTAGCACTCCCTTGAAGAAGAGGTCGCTGGAATCAGCTTTGATCGGACCTGACAGCCCCAAACATGGGGCTGCCGTGAAGCTGCAGAAGGTCTACAAGAGCTTTCGGACAAGAAGACAGCTCGCAGATTGTGCAGTCCTTGTAGAGCAGCGGTGGTACGAGCTTTACTGGATTGCTTCTCTTCTAATGATAGCATCGGACATAAACTCATTCTGTATGTTTCAGGTGGAAGCTGTTGGATTTCGTATTGCTCAAGCTGAGCTCTGTCTCCTTTTTCGTCATCGAGAAGCCCGAATCAGCAGTTTCTCGATGGTCGAGGGCAAGAACCAGAGCTGCCAAGGTAGGAACTTCTCACTGTTACTGGCCGACAGATCATGTTCTGAACGCAATTCCATCATCATCAAGCTTGCCATTGCCGGTTTACAGGTTGGGAAAGGCTTGTCGAAGGATGAGAAAGCTCAGAAACTTGCTCTGCAGCATTGGCTGGAGGCGGTGAGTCTCACAGATCATGCAGCACTTCTCTGCATCTCATCCTGTTATTGACATGTTTTACTTAGCTAGCGAGTGCTGTGATCTATCCGCAGATTGACCCTCGACATCGGTACGGCCACAATCTCCAGTTCTACTACGACTGCTGGCTTCAATGCGAGAGCACGGAACCCTTCTTCTACTGGTCAGCTAATTCAGCCCCGTTTCTTCTTCCTTGATCAGAGTACATGTGCCTTAACCCACCGCATTGGATTGTTAGGCTTGATGTTGGAGAGGGAAAAGAGGTCGATCTCGAAGACCAATGCACTCGATCGAAGCTTCAGCAACAGTGCATCAAGTATCTCGGCCCAGTAAGCACTGTCTTTGACCACCCTGCAACACTGAGCTGCTGCTAACATTATTAGCTTTACATGTGCATATGAACATGTTGTCTTCATGTGCAGAAAGAAAGGGAGGCCTATGAAGTCGTAATTGAGGATGGAAAGTTCATGTACAGGCAGAGCAGGCAACTCCTGAACACATCCGGTGGCCCAAAAGATGCAAAGTGGATCTTTGTCTTGAGCACATCAAAGAATCTATATGTTGGTCAGGTGAGTTCCCTATAAATCTCTGCACAATGCAAGGTTTGGCGTTTGATGTGGGATGACTGATACCATGCACTGCACACTGCAGAAGAAGAAGGGCACATTTCAGCACTCCAGTTTTCTTGCAGGAGGAGCCATCTCTGCCGCAGGCCAACTAGTTGTAGAAGATGGAGCTCTCGAGGTACCAATTCATTCACTTGTATTTCTTGGACATATGTGTGTGTATGATTTACTTGGCTTACTGATTCGGTCACGATTTGGTAGGCTGTGTGGCCTCATAGCGGCCATTACCGCCCGACCGAAGAGAACTTCAAGGAATTCATGAGCTTTCTTGATGAAAACAACGTGGATCTTTCGGATGTTAAGGTGAGCAAATCACTCGTACGTCCTTAATTTACAGTGATTCAAACCTTGATATTGAGAACCATAAATGAATGATACAGAAAAGCCCAACCGGAGAGGATGATGAACGCGATGGCGGACTCAAGAAGAGCCACTCTGAACGAAACTTGGCTGAGAAGGATATCACCCCTGCAGAGCCTGAAACCACAGAGGACGCCTCTTCCTCCGTGGCATTCGAGGTAGCCAACGTGAGTAGCTTTCTCGCCGATCTCAAACTCAGGGGAGAAGAATCATCCGATCGACAGCAACGCTACATCTTCCGGAAGAAGAACCTCTTCTTGGAGGAGGGAGAGGAGGACGACGAGGGATTTGTGCCGTCGGAACTGATACTTCGAAGGATCAACTCGAAGAAAGGGATCGGATCGGGACAGCTGGGGAAGCAGCTGTCCTTCAGGTGGACGACCGGCGCCGGGCCCCGGATCGGGTGCGTCCGGGACTACCCGTCGGAGCTCCAGTTCCGTGCGCTGGAGCAGGTGAACCTCTCGCCGAGAAGCGCCGGGGCGTCGAGGTTCGCTTTGCCACGGACGGCGGCATGCGGAACTCCAACAGCACAGCAGCAGCCACACTAACGTGACAGTGTCAGACAGACGAAGGAATCAGTCGCTTTGAATCAGAGTCGGTGTGTGTATACGAATTGGATACAGATGTGTGTTAGATTCATTTGGTTTTGTAGGTCTGTAGAGAGAGAGAGAGAGAGAGAGACTTCACAGAAGCTGTGTGGAAGTTCTGATGGATCAGCAGATGGAAATACTATTAGCTTGAAGAAAGTGGTCGAAACCTCCTGTGAATAGACGAGCAATCACAACATGTGAGGGAAGGAGACTTGGGAGAGAGAGAGAGAGAGAGAGAGAGAGAGAGAGAGAGAGAG